CATGTCCAACCCTCCTCTTTTATCCGGGCTGAGGACCGAAAGTAGCTTCAAGGGAGCTCCAGGCGGAGTTACTATCTAAGTTATTTATAGGCAAAATTTTAAAGATATTACTGAATGACATAGAGAACTTCTTTTTTATATAAATGATTCCAAATTAAAATGATATTCAATAAACTGAGGGTAATACTGACAAAAATACAAAATATTTTGTAACTAATGAATAGTTTAATGATACATTTATGACACACCTATCTCAACGACTGATGGTTACGTAATTTAAAAGTAGATTGAACGAAAGCTAAATGAGAACAAAGTAACCCTTTGAGTCAGTACATAAAGTTGAATGAGGGCAAAATAAATATCGTGGATTCTCCTCAACTGCTTACAACTGAAAATCATAATGTTAATCATTATTTGTTTTAATGATGACTGTCTGCCTATAATTCTGTCTCTTTAATGTTTAGCCTACATTTCACAACATAAGAACTGTTCATATTTTAGATACAGTGCTCTTGAGTGCTATTACAGGTATGAGGTCGATTTTCACTTTACCGTTGCAGACACAATAAAAGGGTTCTTATAGAGTTACCTGAAAAGAAAATTGGGTTAGAGTTGGTCTTAGTGACCAGAGAGCGTGACCGCAGTGTTAAAAGGACAACTGCTTCAAGCCAATCACACACGACGTTTTTGTGTTAGCTCTGTAATTGTTGGGACCTTACATCCAGAGACGGAAATTCGTGGGATAAGAAGAGGTGTGTATTTTTAGTGTCTAGCTTTTCTAACCCCACCCATCCTTGTGGGAAGGTAGCATCGCTACAGATGCTGTACAGTTAACAGTACGACTTCGCCCTCAGACCTTTGGTTTGTTGCCTTCAGTCTTACCGCTATTCAATCGACCTGTCTGATATAGTAAGACCTTCAGGATTGATTTTTCCAACCAGTATAGTTTGATTTGTCCATCACGATAGGTAAGCCTATCCAACACGTCCAGGTAGCAGCCACAGTTGGAATAATTTAACATTTGCTACTTAAATCATTATTGGAAGACATTGTACCAAGTGAAAACTCTATGCAGTTATGAAGTACTAAATATTACATAGGTTTTTCATATACTGAACAAACTTTCATTTCCTTTCTTGTATCATGTCTTATGTAACTGATTATATAATTAATTTCTTCTTGACTAGTATTAACGTCTTTGAAGATAGTTTTATTAGTTATGGAAATGTTTGATCCATTTTGTCCAATGTTAGATCTTGATTACAGTTCGAACACCTACTTTATAAAAAAATGTTTATAATTCTCAACAGACTCACTGCCGTCTCATCTAAGGTGAACGCATCATCAAATATCTAAGTCGAGATTGAAAGTTGTGCAGAAAATAAACTAAATGTTCCCCCCCCCACACACGCACCATGAGCTATACAAGTCACTTCTAACTTTAATTAAGATGGAACATTTATGTAAACTTTTCAATTTGAAGAGACAGTTTACATCACAGACCGACTTTTGCTGAAGAACTACTGAAAATCAAATGGCACTGGATAGATGCTTCGTTATCCAACAATACGCTTTCAAGATCCCGGTAGTAATCAGACCAATGATGTTTGGAAATTGTGAACAATATAGCAATTTTTGCGAGAGTTAGATCGTCATCCAACTGGTAAACTTTCTAACTGCAGTCATTCTCCACCGTTCAGTTTCACTATTGACATGTGTTTTACTTCCACCATGGAAGATCACCAAAAGTCACAGCTCCACTAGAATTCCGAGTGTTTGTTTTAAAACTAGTCATTGGTTAGTATATAATTATAAATGATTAATTCACAATTGTAGAACACTGTCATAGGTAGGTGTTTATTCTTTCCAAACGATACAGTTTCTACATGAGATCTATGATTAAGAATAATGGTCATGTCTTACATAATAAAGACTGTAAAAATATAAATATCATTCTCAAGCAAAGTTTTGATAGTAGCTAACAATAGGATTCGATGAACTCGTTTCGTTCCAAATGAAACTCATCAACTAGATGTACTTGAACCTCGATATAAAGGTCGAATCCAGTAATCGAACATCCTACGTTTCACTACATTCATCTAACATATTTTCCATTAAGCTATTGAGTTCGGGTAACCAGTGAATTACGGAATAGAAATATATTCCAATTCATTTCTATAAGAATACATATCCGTTAATGACTATATCGAGTCAACCCACTCAAGATGTAATATGACATAGAGTGAGAGCGAGAGAGCGATCAATTTTATACCCTAACGACAGGAAGATTCAAATCCTTATAAACCATTAAATATCCTTCTTTCATAGGAAACTAAACTGAATTATATATAAAGGGAGTCCAATACTAGGACGCATCAGCCGTTTAGTGCTTCCAAGTTTTCAACAGTGATCTAACATAGAATGCTTTATAATTTCAATGAAATTTAACAAACTCAAGGACTTCTTAATGACATGAAAGTAAATAATTTAGCTAGTCACTTAGTTTTATCTTTATCAAATAAAATTTTATCATAAGTGGGTTTTGTGAAGAATTTAGCAATTTAATAGTTGAATTCATGTGTGAATTAAAGCTAGACCACCATGTAAAACCTGGAAGCAGTGGATGGTCGTTTCGTCCTAGTATGGGACTCCTCAATAGTGCATATCAACGATCCCTCTCGCGAGATTCGAAGTTAGATATTAATACCGTTGAATGACGACTCAGTAGTCTAGAGGTTAAGCGTTTGCATGCGAGACCGATAGGTCCTGGATTCAGGTCTCACGTATAGAATCGTGAGTTGGTCGTCCAGTGATCCTAGGTTTTTCATGATGGTCATTTTGTTACCACCATTTTGATCATTAAACTAACCTTATAGTATTGGATATCATTAACATTGAAAGTGATTTTTTGTTTGATGTGGAAAATCACATTATCATGTACATGTATATAATAAGAGAAAACACAAGGCATGAAAAATTAAATTCTATGGATGATTAACTACACTATTACTGTACTATTGTTAATTACCTTTTTCTATACTTATCCATCTCTATTTCAATTTTATTATTATTAATACAAAGTGTGTATTTATGCAAATAAGTATGGTGAATTTCTTTATTTATCTTTTCACTTTGTTATAATGAATTATGTAAATTATGTTTACTTCATGAGTTTTGATTTCGTATAACATTTATTGTGATTATTATGATTATACTACTTCCTAATAAATAGACTTTATGAATGATAAGTAGTATATAATGGTTTGTCAATCAGTCAGTCAGTCAACAACAACAACAACAACGTAGAACTTTGCATGTACATACATCAGTTCAAGCTGCCATATCACATTAGCACATAGATCAAATCCCACAGCAGTAGAGGTAGTAAAAGTATAAACAGTAATCGGGAACATTAGGGTTTGAAGATGTTAGTCAAGGAGTCTAATCCAGTGAAATAAATTTCGAAAGAGAACAGGTAAAGGGACATGAAGAATTCAGGAGATTAGAATTGGGGAGAACACATAGAGTGGATGCACCAGAGCCATTACCAAACAATTTTGAGCCATGTTATTCAAGGTAATGGTTTGTGGAGACTACTTAATTTAAAGATAAATCATACCATGGCATGATTTTAGTTAGATAACTATTAGAATGATGATTGATTCAGGAATGAAATATTTCAACATTATGAGCATAAGAACCAATAAATGACTAAGGTTAGAACTTTCATCCTTCTTGACAGTCACGTTACCTTTGGAACAGTAAGTTGGTAATTACTTCAATCCACATTTGTAATTTTAGTCAATTTGGAATTGATAGTAGGTCATCATTCATTGACATTTTGTAGTGCTTATCTCATATCATACATGATTAAACTCTACCGGTCATAGGTTATCACTAGAGCCTTGAAGTACATAATATTGATCAATATACAGTGATTAACCAATTGTAAATACATCTCAGTATTATAGGTCAGTCGCGGCTCAGAAAGCTCAATGGTAACGTCTCTGACCGTGAAACTGGTTGATAAGGTACTAAATCTGTCAAGGAGCATCAGTTTCCACAAAATCACAGGTACACCTTGCTGGCGAGTGGCAAATAGCACAAAACATCTGTTTAGTATTTCCTGTCTACTGCCTCTAATCACCACCTTACATATTAAATTTGCTCATGAGATGTCGATACACTTAGACTGTTGGCCATATAACAACTTGATCGATAGGATTTGATCAGCAGCACTAAGAAAAACCTGACATACTTTACTCAGTTGCAAATCACCCACTCCTTGGTATTCAATATCTGTCTAGCTAAAGTCTAATTAATCATCTCCAAATAATACAGATTACAGTTAGAACCAAACTAGTAATAAAATCTTTTGATGAGTATATGCCTGTTAAAAATCTAACCTACGTTAATCGTTGACATTGTTTTTGAAGTATTCAAATAATTTACTTATCTAAATGGAGTGTAGTAATTACTAAAATCATAATTTAAGGTAGCTTATTTTGTTATCTCTGAACAACAATAGGTAAGCGGTGTAACACAATTCCATTCAGAAAGGGGTTTTGTGGAGATTATAGTTGTTTAATAGTTGAATTCATGAGTTGACTAAAACTAGACTACCACGGAAAACCTGGACGGACCGGACGTCTGTTTCTTTCTAGCATGGGACTCCTCAACAGTGCACATACAAGATCCCGCTCGTGAGATTCGAAGCCAGTACCTTCGGCCTCGCACGCGTACACTTAACGTCTAGACCATTAAGCTGGAATCTAACGATATCTAACTTCAACCGATCCACGAAATCGCGCCACCGTTGTCTTCAGTGAGTTATTGCCTTACATGGTTGAACTCCACTAGTTAAAAATGTAATTTCTGAACTACGTTTTATTGAAGTCTTTCTTCGATTGGGAATAGTAGTAATTCGCAAAAATATTTCACAACTTCAACTGGCATTGGTAAACACACGTATCCTAATAATCTAAATAATTTATCTATCAATGTCTCCCTGCGGAAGGTAAGAGACGGCCTGGAATGATTCATGTTTATCATACAATCTCAAGGATGACAAAACTACTGATCATTTTATAATTTGTATTGTAAGAGAAACCTATAGTTGGTTAAACAATATTATGTGTTAGGAAAAAATCATTTCGACTTTTGTTCAACAGATTATGACGATTACTAACAGATCATTATCACGTGAAAGAGCACAGGTTAACAATTAATTTGTGCCCCAAATTAGATGATAAGAGAATTTATACTACGGCTTCAAATGTAGATGCAGTTTTGGTGAATAACAACATATTCAACTTCTTGACCACCTGGTCACTTATATAAGTGGTACTAAAATGGAGCATCAACTTGGACATATTCTAATCTGGGCTTTTTAGATCGATTTCTTTGAACAGAAATCATTTCAATTCATTCAGACAATTCGAACTTACTTACTTAGGCCTGTTACCCCTTGTAGAACATAAGCTACCAATCAAGATTCTCCTATCTACTCTATCCTGTGTAAATATGTTTTAAGGTGTTAAATTTTGTTTTCCATGCAGTAAATTGTGTCTTCATAGTTTATATCAATTTCGTTACACATGTTGCCATAGGTGTGTAAAGGTTGGACATATTTATTTTAACACATAGATATCGGTACAAGGAGGCATCAAATACATATGCGCTACACAGAACTCATTTGATATGTGTAAGGGCTGTTTGCAAAAGTTCCAAGATTTTGGACTGAAATCAACTAGGTTTAACAGTAGCTTAGATTTATTGTCACTTAATACCACCTCCAACACGGGCAATTTTCATTTATTTATTATCGAAACAAGGAGAATACAGTCAATTATCTCTAGGAGAAATCTATTTTTTCTTTATAATGATGTTCATTTAAAGCCCACCAGTAGTGTAACCACCGGTATCATTAACCATCAATTACCGATTATCGGTAAAGTTGATATTTGATTAAGGAAAGAGAGGGGATTTCTGTTTATGTTTCTTTTCTTGCTGATGAGTACAGTTCATCTATGATTGGATTAATGGCCGTTCTTTATGCAATAGTTTTTCTAGTTACTGTTTAATCAAAGATCAGGTATGGATAACGCTTGACGGCTGTGGGAAGTATAGAAATTCAATTTGTACATTTCAAGATAAAGGGAAAATCCATCTTCTTCAGACGTCGACTAATTCCATTTGGTTTAAAAGAGGCTGTAATAAAGCTAGTTAGACTGATTCAGAAAAAGATAATGATTGTATTTAGCCTACTCTCATTATAAGTCCATTAAAGGCTGATGGGAAAATACCAAGAATTTGTAGTGACTTCTACCTGACGTTTAGTAACAAAGTTGTACCACTGAAGAGACGGAAGAAATACTACAACAAATTACTGAGATCAAAATATCTCTCTAAAGTAGATCTAAAAGGTTGATATTTACAAACTCCACTGGATGAAGATTCGAGGGAACTAACTATTATTAATACACCATTTGGGCTTTTCAGTTATAAGTTATTACCGTTTGAATTAAACGTTTCACCTAAAATATTCAACTAAGTTATAGATCAGATTATTACTGATCTTGATGGCTTTGAAGATGATATCGTATTCCAGGCTCAAAATACAGAATTTCGACTTAATATGGGATACTTCAGCATTGACCATCCACGAAATCATAGGTGATTGAACTCAGAACCTATAGTTTTGTGGTGAGTTTTGAAACTATTTTTTATTATCTGAAGTAGATAACTATTACACATCCAATATAGATGGACGCTAAATGTTACAGCTACTACTACTACTACTACTACTACTACTACTACTACTACTACTACTACTACTACTACTACTACTACTACTACTACTACTACTACTACTACTACTACTACTACTACTACTACTACTACTACTACTACTACTACTACTACTACTACTACTACTACTACTACTACTACTACTACTACTACTACTACTACTACTACTACTACTACTACTACTACTACTACTACTACTACTACTACTACTACTACTACTACTACTACTACTACTACTACTACTACTACTACTACTACTACTACTACTACTACTACTACTACTACTACTACTACTACTACTACTACTACTACTACTACTACTACTACTACTACTACTACTACTACTACTACTACTACTACTACTACTACTACTACTACTACTACTACTACTACTACTACTACTACTACTACTACTACTACTACTACTACTACTACTACTACTACTACTACTACTACTACTACTACTACTACTACTACTACTACTACTACTACTACTACTACTACTACTACTACTACTACTACTACTACTACTACTACTACTACTACTACTACTACTACTACTACTACTACTACTACTACTACTACTACTACTACTACTACTACTACTACTACTACTACTACTACTACTACTACTACTACTACTACTACTACTACTACTACTACTACTACTACTACTACTACTACTACTACTACTACTACTACTACTACTACTACTACTACTACTACTACTACTACTACTACTACTACTACTACTACTACTACTACTACTACTACTACTACTACTACTACTACTACTACTACTACTACTACTACTACTACTACTACTACTACTACTACTACTACTACTACTACTACTACTACTACTACTACTACTACTACTACTACTACTACTACTACTACTACTACTACTACTACTACTACTACTACTACTACTACTACTACTACTACTACTACTACTACTACTACTACTACTACTACTACTACTACTACTACTACTACTACTACTACTACTACTACTACTACTACTACTACTACTACTACTACTACTACTACTACTACTACTACTACTACTACTACTACTACTACTACTACTACTACTACTACTACTACTACTACTACTACTACTACTACTACTACTACTACTACTACTACTACTACTACTACTACTACTACTACTACTACTACTACTACTACTACTACTACTACTACTACTACTACTACTACTACTACTACTACTACTACTACTACTACTACTACTACTACTACTACTACTACTACTACTACTACTACTACTACTACTACTACTACTACTACTACTACTACTACTACTACTACTACTACTACTACTACTACTACTACTACTACTACTACTACTACTACTACTACTACTACTACTACTACTACTACTACTACTACTACTACTACTACTACTACTACTACTACTACTACTACTACTACTACTACTACTACTACTACTACTACTACTACTACTACTACTACTACTACTACTACTACTACTACTACTACTACTACTACTACTACTACTACTACTACTACTACTACTACTACTACTACTACTACTACTACTACTACTACTACTACTACTACTACTACTACTACTACTACTACTACTACTACTACTACTACTACTACTACTACTACTACTACTACTACTACTACTACTACTACTACTACTACTACTACTACTACTACTACTACTACTACTACTACTACTACTACTACTACTACTACTACTACTACTACTACTACTACTACTACTACTACTACTACTACTACTACTACTACTACTACTACTACTACTACTACTACTACTACTACTACTACTACTACTACTACTACTACTACTACTACTACTACTACTACTACTACTACTACTACTACTACTACTACTACTACTACTACTACTACTACTACTACTACTACTACTACTACTACTACTACTACTACTACTACTACTACTACTACTACTACTACTACTACTACTACTACTACTACTACTACTACTACTACTACTACTACTACTACTACTACTACTACTACTACTACTACTACTACTACTACTACTACTACTACTACTACTACTACTACTACTACTACTACTACTACTACTACTACTACTACTACTACTACTACTACTACTACTACTACTACTACTACTACTACTACTACTACTACTACTACTACTACTACTACTACTACTACTACTACTACTACTACTACTACTACTACTACTACTACTACTACTACTACTACTACTACTACTACTACTACTACTACTACTACTACTACTACTACTACTACTACTACTACTACTACTACTACTACTACTACTACTACTACTACTACTACTACTACTACTACTACTACTACTACTACTACTACTACTACTACTACTACTACTACTACTACTACTACTACTACTACTACTACTACTACTACTACTACGTATTCCAACATTCAACTCATAATTTGACTATTCCTTTGGAATAATCATTTACAATTGATAAATGCACGAACTGATAAATACGTTACTGAAAAGAATATTTTTCGTTAGTTTATATATTTTATTCATTTATTTATATACATAAACATTATTACAAGGAGGCAACAAATATATATATATATATATATATATATATATATATATATACCACACAAAGTAGTTACCCCAAATGCCCTGGTATGGCCGAGAGCGGGGAGGGTTCGCCCTCCCTCTCGAAATACTTTCACACGGCCACGCGTATACAGCCTCTGCCAGGGAAGTCCTACTCACTGCCTTCTCGTGGCGGGGGTGTTGTTTACGAAATTGAGAGGACGAAAAGCGAATGTCCGGCGCTATAACCGGATCCCAATTCTATGGTGCACATGGGCTCCAGTATCCTGCGGGAACAAATGGCGTATGAACCAATCGTTGGTCACCGGCTTCCATGGGACTGCATCTCCTCACGATGCTCCACTGCCTTGTGGACTAGACCTTTAGGTCAAAGGCTCGGGGTGTGGCCCCCTAAGAAAACCACCTGCTTCGGTCTGGGCACCCGGGCAGTATCTCAGCCCACTCACTAAAACTATGATGAACAATTTGCTTATGGAAAATATTCCTTTCTATCTGATTAACATTGAAATAACTCGTACTATTATTATTATTATTATTGTTATTATTATTATTATTATTACTCTACCACGTCATTTATTCACCCTCACTTATTCCTACTTTATATATGCGTTTCGACCTAGACAGCAGCTCACCTATGGTGAAAATTCAGCTTTATCTAAACGTTCCCGAGTCACTGCCTGGTTGAAAATTGTATGTTACTACCGAACATGAGTACTGAAGCAGTTTTTCTGAAACCGCGTGCACCATTCAAACTGGCTACCTTCAACGTTCGCACACTTATGCAGGTCGGACAACAGATAGGACTGGCTATGTCTTTGGAAAGTCTTAATATTGATGTGTGTTGTCTATCCGAGACCCGTATTCAAGACTCTGGTGAAGTACTACAAGTTCGCTCTCCATCTGTCACTTCAAAAAGCTTGTTTTATGTGCGTTTATCCGGGGACCCTGTGGCATCTTCGTCTGGTCTTGCTGGCGTTGGTGTCGCACTTAGCGCTAGAGCTGAGGCAGCACTAGTCGACTGGATCCCCATTAACAGTCGGTTATGTGCTGTTAGATTAGAAAGTTCCATCAAAGTGAGAAGAAATCGGCGTGAGAAACGATGTCTTTTCGTCATCTCCGCCTATGCCCCGACAGATTGCAGCCCGGATGCAATCAAGGACGAGTTCTACCATCAGCTAACTGTTCTTCTCCAGAAAGCGCGTTCGACAGATATTGTAGTACTAGCTGGAGACTTGAATGCTCTGGTCGGGCGTCTAGGCACAGAAGAGAGTCGTTTAGGTGGCCGATGGGGACTCGTTGGTCGCAGGACAGATAACGGGGAACGTCTACTGCAACTATGCACAGACCACAACCTGTTTCTGGCTAGCACTAACTTTCGGCACAGTCATCGCCGATGTGCCACCTGGCGTCCTCCTTCTGCATCTCAAGCCTGGACTCAGATTGATCACATCGCGATCAGCTACCGCTGGCGCGGTTGTGTACAAGACTGCCGCTCCTTTTGGAGTACCTATCTGGAATCTGATCATGCTCTGGTCTGCGCCAATCTTACCTTACTTTTCAGTGGACAACGAAGTGACCGCCACCAAAGGATTGATGTTAGCAAGCTGGCTGCAACTTCTGTTGCTAGTAAGTACCGAACCGAGCTAGCTTCTAGGCTAGCTACCATTCCACCGAAAAGTATAAATGAGCATTGGTTGCAATTGCATGACGTCATGAAAATGGCGGGTACAGTCTGTTGTGGGTTTGCGAAACGTCCCGCTTACAAGCACTGGGTTTCTTCTGGTTCCTTACAACTGATTGAAGCCCGTCGGTCTACTCCGGGTGACCGTGAGTTTGACCACAGACGAAGGATGTTACGTAATGAAATCGGGCAAAGCTTGCGTAAGGACCGAGAAGCCTGGTGGTCGGAGCGTGCCAGTGAGTTGGAAGCAGCAGCTGCATCTGGTAATTACCGGAAGCTCTTCCAACTCATCCGAGCCACTGGCAGCAAGAAGTTTGGTGTGAGCGAAACAATCTGCGAGGATGACGGAACGCTAATCACTAACATCCATCGACGTCTTGGACGATGGGCAGAATTCTTTGAAGGGCAGTTCAACTGGCCTGCTGCTCCGGCAACATCGGTCAGACTGTCCTGCCCTCCATGGCCGGTGACGACTGATCCACCAAATGAGGCGGAAGTCCGCAAGGAACTCCATCTCTTGAAACGTTACAAATCACCGGGCCCAGACGACTTACCTCCGGCTCTTTTTAAAGATGGTGGTGACTTTTTGACTAAGGGACTGACGACGTTGTTTACAAAGATCTGGGAACTAGAGAGTGTACCAACGTCATGGAATGAGTCGATAGTTGTCCCTATCTTTAAAAAGGGTTCACGTTGTTCCTGTAACAACTATCGGGGGATAAGTCTACTTCCGATTGCGTCCAAGCTATTGGCTTCCGTCATACTTCGTAGGTTGTTCAGAACCCGAGAAGGATTGACTCGCGAGGAGCAGGCTGGGTTTCGTTCTGGTCGAGGATGTATTGATCATATCTTCACCCTCCGCCAAGTGTTAGAACACCACCATACTTATCAAAGGCCAACAATCGTAGTGTTTCTTGATATCAGGGCTGCCTTCGATTCGTTGGACAGAACTGTTCTCTGGGATTGTCTATTGAAGAAGGGTGTGCCTGAGAAGTTTATTAACATCCTAAAAGCCCTATACACAAACACCTCAGGCAGAGTGAGGGCATACAACCACCTTTCTCAATTGTTCCATTCGAGCAGTGGGGTTAGGCAGGGTTGCCCAATATCACCATTCCTCTTCAACTTTGCCATCGATGACATTCTGGAAACAGCTCTGACGGATGTAAGTAATGGTGGTGTGGATCTGTTGCCTGGAGAAAGACTTCTCGACCTTGAGTATGCGGATGATATTGTCTTACTGTGCGAGAATGCCCAAGCTATGCAATCCGCACTTAATCAGTTGGCAATCAGTGTCCGTAGGTATGGTATGTGCTTTGCACCTTCGAAGTGCAAAGTACTTCTACAAGACTGGCAGGATTCTAATCCTGTACTCACTCTGGATGGTGAGCAGATTGAAGTAGTCGAGAAGTTCGTGTATCTAGGTAGCTGCATAAGTGCTGGTGGTGGTGTGAGTGATGAGATCAATGCTCGTATAGTGAAAGCCAGAGCGGCTTATGCCAATCTGGGCCATCTTTGGCGCCTTCGTGATGTTAGTCTGGCTGTAAAAGGTCGGATCTACAACGCGACGGTGAGAGCAGTTTTGCTCCATGCTTGTGAAGCATGGTATCTCCGAGTTGAGGATGTTAGACAACTTTCTGTTTTCAATTATCGCTGTCTCAGAAGGATTGCTGGCATCCAGTGGCAACACCATGTCAGTAATGCAGAGGTTCGGCATCGAGTGTTCGGTCACAGAGACGATAATGAAATTGGTGTCACCATCTTGAAACACCGACTTCGGTGGCTTGGACATGTTCTGCGAATGTCGTCCCAGAGAATTCCACGTCGTGCATTATTTGCCGACTCTGGGACTGGTTGGAAAAAGCGGAGAGGTGGTCAGTATATGACATGGTGTCGTGGTATGAAAGAAAGCTGCAAAGGGCTAGCTTCTGTTGGTCCTTCACGACTCCCTGGTTGGGGTCCGAGAGACGGTGTAACGCAGTGGCTAGAGACGTTATCAGATATGGCTAAGAATAGAAGCCAGTGGCGATCGTGCTGTAACCTCTTACTTTCTTCATAAAAAGTGTTTATATCTTCCTTAACTGAAAGATCTCTTCTGATTGTACCTTTCCGTTTCCCCCACCATTGTTCTCTCTCTCTCCCTTTTTTTTATAATTCCCCACGTTCATTACTTTTTTTTTCTCTTTTCTCCTTCTCTTCAAATTATCACTGTTTTGTGTGGCGCATATATATTTGGTGCCCCCCTGTACCAATATTTATGTGTTCAAATAAATAAATAAATAACCATTAGATTTGCTTGGAGAGGGACACTACTAGGGTACCCAAATTATTTATTTATTTTATTTTAACACATAGATATTGGTACAAGGAGGTACAAAATACATATGCGCCACATAAATCTCATTTGATATGTGTGAGGGCTGTGATACTGCCCGGATGCCCAGACCGAAGTAGGTGGTTTTCTTAGGGGACCACACCCTGAGCCTTCGACCTGAAAGTCTGATCCACAAGGCAGTGGAGCATCATAAGGAGATGCAGTCCCATGGTAGCTGGTGACCAACGATTGATTCATATGCCATTTGTTCCTTCAGGATCCTGGAGTCCATGTGTACCACTGGTTTGGAATAAGGGTTTCCCAACTCCTCCGTCTTGTTTAATGCGTCGAACATTCGTTTTTTATCCTCTTTATTTCGTTAAACAACATGCTCGCCACGAGAAGGCAGTGAGTAGAACTTTCCTGGCAGTATGTGTATACACTTGGCCATGTGAGGGTATTTGGAAAGGGAAAGCGGACTCTCCTCACCCTCAGCAGTACCGGGGCATTTGGAGGCATGTACCACTATTGTAACATTACTTCTTCATACAAAGAATAAAAATAATGCCAAAACTAATCTACTCAAATTATCTTGGTGATAAATAATTAGTATTAATGTATATTTATTGTTACTTATTACTGGTATAATTATCAAAAAACACAGTGAATACTACCCTGATCGTTTATTCTATAATTATGAACTCTTTTTATATCGAAAGTAGAGGTTAATAAAAGATAATGAATATCAGTAATGTATGTCGCGTAACTCCGCCTGCAGCCCCTTTTGGGCTACTGACGGTCCCGAGCCTGGATAAAGGAGGAGGGTCGAGCATGAGGTTAGACACCCCATCCCGTTTATTAACAGTTGTCTATGCAAAATACTTCGTATCTGTTGGCCAAACACCATCAACAACAACCTATTGTGGGTGAGAAAAAACTCAATTCAAGGGGAGGAATAAATCAGGAAGAAGCTCTGGAAGTGGATAAGACACAGTGAGGGAAGCACTCAATTGTGTCACAAGGCAAGCCCTCACTTGGAATCCTCAAGGCTAAAGGAGAACTGGTAGAACAAAGAACACATTACACCAAGAAATTAGAGATAGACATGAAAAGAATGGAAAACAATTGGATAGAACTAGAAAGGAAGGCGCAAGACAGAGTGGGCTGGAGAATATTGATCGGCGGCCTATGCTCCATTGGGAGTAAAAGGCGTAAGTAATGTATGTTGCATATATATTTATATTAGTTATCACATGGTTAATGAATCATTTTTGACAATTCAACATAGATCATAATTACATATCACGAATTTAAACATAGTGTCAAAATGATCAATTGCTTCAAATATATGTCAACTATATTTATGGAAATGAAACAAAAAAACTATTCTTACTAATAGTCAGTCAAAGATATCATGATTAGTTTTAAGAATTGAAAAGAATCCAATAGAGAAATAAAGGAATTAATGAGCAGGCTTGTTGTTAGCTTCATTCGAATGACTTATTTAGACACCCCATAAAACTGGTATTTCCACGTTTAATCAATCATAAACGAACGTCTGATTTGCCAAGCGGTCTAAGGCGCCAGATTCAAGTGTTATTCTGGTCCACGATGTGAGCGTGGGTTCGAATCCCATAACCGATGCATACAAGCCCCCAAATGCCCTGGTACGGAAAAGGGTGGGGGAGTGTCAGCTCTCCCTCTCCAAATGCTCTCATGTGGCCACGCGTGTACAGCCACTGTCAGGGAAGTACTAATCACTGCTTTCTAGTGGCATTACTGTTGTCCGGCGCTTTAACCGGGTTGATGGATACGGAGGATCAACTAAGGGGTGTTGGAAAACCCTTATTCCAAACCAGTGGTGCACATGAGCTCCAGGATCTTGAGAAAACCAAAGGCGTATGAACCAATTATCGGTCACCGGTTACCATATGACTGCATCTCTACTGTCTTGTGAATCAAACCATTAGGTCGTGGGCTCGGAGCGTGGTCCCCCAATAAAACCACCTGCTTCGGTTTGGGCACCCGGGCAGTATCACAGCCCTCACGTAAATCAAGTGAATTGTGTGGCATATATATATGTGGTGCCTCCTTGTACCAACATTTATGTGTTCAAATAAATAAAAATAAAGTGGATATAGAGAAAGTACAAATTTGGAGATGGAGGTTGGTGTTTTGATTAATTACAGTGACAATCAATGAAATAAAATCTTTTCCTCCGTAGAATAATAGTAGCGGCCATCAAACATAAGATACGATTGAATCTCAAGTAAATATGAGAAAACTCTCTACAATACGAAGACAAACAATCATAGATTGACCTCAATTTTTGATTTGAGGTCCATCAATAATTTTCTAGCTTGGCATTATAGAGATATAAGATAGTACATCAGACTGAGCACACGTGTCTTTACCACCTTAGTTGGAGAACTTTTAAAACGCCATCAAACATACTGCTACACTCAACTTTATCAATTACTCGAAAAATAGTTTCATCGTGCAAAAGAAACTGTAATCTTCCGCCCAGTATTACATCAAATTGTGATTATTATTTATTTATTTTAACACATAGATATCGGTACAAGAAGGCACCAAATACATATGCGTCACACAGAACTCATTTGATATGTGTGAGGGCTGTGATACTGTCCGGGTGCCCAAACCGAAGCAGGTGGTTTTCTTAGGGGACCACACCCCGAGCCTTCGACCTGAAGATCTGATCCACAAGGCAGTGGAGCATCATAAGGAGATGCAGTCCCATGGTAGCTGGTGACCAACGATTGGTTCATACGCCATTTGTTCCTTCAGGATACTGGAGCCCATGTGCACCATTGGTTTGGGATCCGGTTAAAGCGCCGGACATTCGCTTTTCGTCCTCTCAATTTCGTAAATAACACCCCTGCCACGAGAAGGCAGTGAGTAGGACTTGCCTGGCAGAGGCTATATACGCGTGGCCATGTGAGAGCGTTTCGAGAGGGTGAGCGGACTCTCCCCACTCTCGGCCGTACCAGGGCATTTGGAGGCACATCAAATTGTGATACCATATAAACCTACATTTACCTGTATGGGTCAAATGAATTGTCAATAACTTAACAGCTACATTTACAATTCCAAGGGTAAGTGCTGTATAAAAGTTCAAATGAATTTTCATTGAAGATAATAATTTATTATATCAGCCAATCGTCTCATCTTTCAGTCTATACTAAAGCGTAAATCTGTTCTAGTATCATTCCATGATTTTCACGGTTATCCAACGACACAAGTGTAAGTTACCTATACGTGATCAATATCAGGATAAATAACAGTTCTACAGTTATGAATCACTATCTCTTCAGGGAAAACAAATCTACATTTAAGATTATACCAGTTCCACAAAAATTGTAATCATATCGAGAATATTATAAGTTTACTAACAAATTGTACATTCATAACCATAAGTATAAATGTGGGAACCGAACCAACATATTTAAGGGTTCTAGTTCCCACCCCCAAAAGAAACTGACACAAGTCTCAGCTGGTGGAATTAACACTAACTTTCACTATCGTTCAAAAATATGTAATACGTGTAGGTTAGTAACACGAGCATATCATTAAAGTGTCAACTTTCGAAAGTTTATGTAGCCTATTTTACCGGTAATTCTAACAAGTTCTCCTCATTCGTACGGCTTATATTATAAAAAGTACACCTTTTTTCAATTTGTCGGTAAGATATATTGGAAAAAAAGAACCTTTCCAAGCATTCGTTACAATAAAACGGTGAATAAACACTGAAACCTGTAGTATATGTTCGAAAAAAATTAAATCAGTGAAAAGAAATTATAGAAAATACATAAGTATTACAAAATAAGTTAACAATACTAACGATAACTCTCAATACAAGATGAATTAAATTAAGCAATGTCGCTAGAGTCATTCAAAACTTTACAACTGAAAATCATACTACTTACTAATTATAAGTAGCAAAATGTTTTAACCGATTAATTCTAATTTTTTAAGTGAACTCATTAAATATTCTGATAACCAAAATAAATATCGCCAATAAAGTAAATCAGTCCACTTCAATGTTGATGATGATGGTTCTTTGCATAGATTATTTTTATATGACCAATTTAAGAATTCATTGAAAGAAAATCTTGTAAAACATATTTTAGATGATTTTAATTGTGTAATAATATCTAATGTTTTAGGAAGTAAAGGTTCCACTTGATTGAGTAATTTCAGGATACTTTCATTGGAATTGTATGGGGATTGGTGTTGATTTAGTTGGATCCAGAATGTAATCAACCGTCTTCTATAATGGAAAAATTTAGTATGATATTAATAATGCACTCTTTATTTAATACTTTTGGTGAGACTACAATTTATAGACGAATTGATCAAATTTAAGGTAAAAGGTCTTGGATTTTGGCGCAAAATTCACTCACCCATTCGTTCAAATAGCACCTTGGCATTTTGGCTGATGTCAGTTCGTGATGAAAAACCGTATATCTAATTCCTCATCCTAACCATCCACTGTGAATTTTAATCTTTATTCGTCAAACTGCTTTATAACCTTCATTTAGCCCTAGTAAGTAGGTAGAGTTCTTCAAGGTCACGTTGGCGTCGCTCAAAGGTAATCCATAAATTATAATCTCATCATACTTTCTATAAGTCTGATCGAAGTAAACAGTTCGCATTAATAAATACTTAACAATGTAACAGAATTACCGTTTTTATGAACATTTTACTAGTGAATGTTAAAAACTATGTGTGGAAAGTTTGTTTAAATAGAGATTAGTTGCCATTCATATTCATTTATAAATATTTACGATTAATCTTGCTCCCGTGATATCTCTCTGTATCAGTGAATCTAATTTGATTTACGTGGTCTTGATTGCTGTTAGATGTTTGATTTATGAATTCTATAGTAATCTCCATTCAGTTTTCCAAATGGCGGATAGATAGGAGAAAAGTATATGAACTACTATAAGATTATTTATATAAACACATAAACATTGGTACAAGGAGGCACTAAACAGAAATGCACGACACAATTCACTTGATTTGTGTGTGGGCAGTGATGTTGCTCGGGTGCCCAGACTGAAGCAAGTGATTTTCTTAAGGGGCCACACTCGGAGCATTCGACCAAAAGGTCTGATCCACAAGGCAATGGAATATCATAAGGAGATGCTGTCCCATAGTAGCCGGTGACCAACAACCGGTTCATACGCCATTTGTTCATTCAGGATACTGAAGAACATGTGCACCATTGGTATGGAATCAGGGTTTTCCAACTCACCTATGTGGATCCTCCGTGTCCACCAACCCAGTTAAAGCACTTTTCGTCTTCTCAATTTCGTAAAGAACACCCCCTCCTTGATAAGGCAGTAAGACTTCCCTGGCAGTAGGTGTATACGAGTGGCCGCATAAGACCATTCGGAGAGGAAGAGCTGATTCTCACCACTCTCGCCCGTACCACGGCATTTTGGGGTTTTCAATAAGATAAGAGACATGTTCTAAGTATTTCATGGAAGCATGAACACGCATGAGATTGTTGAAAAACATAATGAATTAAATCAACCAAATGCAAAACAAAGAAACTTAGTGGGATAAACGGAAGTTTTTTAAAAAAAAATGGTGACTTAAAATGATTTGGATGATCACAATGGTCAACCATGATGTTAGAATTTGCATACACTAACTAACGACAGATGTGTATTGCTGAATGAATAACAAATATTCATTGAATTGTAATAAATCCCTAAGATCAGTTAAAAACAGTATAATTGACAACCTAAGTGGTTTGGACAGTTGTTTTACCCAGTTTAATACTTTTCAGAATTGATGATCATATCAGAGATGTGAACCAAGGACATTTACGTTTCATGGTCAGGTAGAAATCTTCAATGTCAATCTATTCATAATATAACAATAATGATAATCCAATGTCGTTCGCCTTACTTTATCTCAAGGTGACTTTGCATCCACAAAGAGTAAATAATCAATCTCATTAGAATGATGACTTGAAATGTTCCATCCCACGTTGTACAATAATTTCGTTTGTGTAATAAATAAGAATTCACCACTAAAGTTGTAAGAGAAAGTGATAACTATCCAGCTGAATTTACTGTAAATGATAATCGTTTCCAAAGTGCCTATTACACTAGAGGTTGTGACAAATTTACTACTCATGTATTAACATTAACTCCGCCTGGAGTCCCTCCGGGGGCTACTGCCGGTCCCAAGCCCGGATAAAGGAGGAGGGTCGGGCATAGGTTTAGCGACCCCATTCCTTAGAAAACTAACTCGCTAGAAAACGCTGATAAAAGTCGATTTTTCTAGGAGACCCTACCCGAGACATAGAAGTTTAATCCACATAGCAGTGGAACAACGCCAGGAAACGCAGTCCTGTGGTAACCAGTGAGAAAGATCGGTTTGTACACCATCTGTTTTCTCTGGATCTTGGAACTCATTGTTCGCGAGATATCGATTTGATTAAAGCAAGCATGTTGGGGCACGCTGATTAGCTATTTCTTAACCAATCAGCTCTATCGGATGCTTGGAGAAAACTCTGTAGTCTTCTTTTGTTTAAATATACTAAGATTTTTCTTATTGTGATTCCTACTTCCATCTACTCTTGTTACTTGGAATATAATTACGTTCCTGTTCAACCGTGTTCTGGTTCAGGGATTTGTCGAGTGAAGTAGTGTCCAAGATTACTAAGCAGTAAGAGTAGCTGGGGCATAGTAAGAGAAACCATAACACTCATGCACACTTGATTTCCAATCAAGGTTTGCCAGCTGCTTTAGGTGGATCTCCTGTATATAATAAGTCAGTGTGAACCCCTCTCACTTTGTATAAAGCACTCCCTGTGTATGGAGCCGGCAAGGCTTCCATGACAGAAGCTACAAACACGTAGGCGTATGAGGACATTACGAGGGCGAACTTTACTTACCCTTGGTCATATCAGCAGATTCGGGAAGGAGTAGACTGTAGGTGAATGTTTCGAATGATGGTGGAACATGAATTATCGAGCAATAAATAAAAACATAGTTCAAATGTGAAAGTAAACATTTATGTATGTATAACATACAACTCACCTAAACATCCATACACATTCTCGTTCAGGATAAAGTTCTAGAATGTCATGTACTTTTTCAAAATAACTCTGAATAATCCTTGTCGAGTTTTCTAATAGTAATTTTTGATCATCTAACATTGGAGATAATGCGACAACCATAGATTGACTCACTAATCCATCAAGGACACTTTCTAAATAACTCCAACCACTTATATCAGTTGGGTGTTTTGCTAACCAAACATTTAAATTATCCAATTCTATCTTATATATCTATGGAATACCGATTAAAAAAAAAGAGAGGATAGTTGTCGACAGTGAATCATACTAAATGTACACGACTACCTACAGTGATTTTTACCAGCCCAAGTTGTTATACCCTATTTTCGCACAAGGAGAAGGGAAATTAACAAAAGTGTCTGACTTTCAACCACATTTTAAGTGAGAAGGTTGGTTACTTAATCCAAAATAGGTGGGGCGGGGTTAAAACATGAGGCTTAGTGGCTGAAAATAAAAAGTCTCAAGCACTGAGCTACTGCTCCAAATTGACAAGGTAATAATTACACAAAGAGAAGATAAAAATTGAACACAATTGTAAACTAAGCATGACAACTATGTTTCAAAAACGAAACAAATAAGGTTGGAAAAATCACTTATATGTATACCAATTGAACGATAGTGAGAAATACTGTACGATGTTTCTAAACCGAAGTACATAGAATTGAGTACAAATCTACTACACAATAGTTAGAAATCAAGTGTCTTATCTAATCTGTTCTGATGATTTACCATCCATAAAAGAGAGAGAGTAATGATTTTTACAGATTAGATTAATTCTCCATAATGTAAGTGACAGCATAAAAATGTTGAATCGGCCAATCACACAAACAACTAATGTAGGCAATTTTTTCCATTTCATTTATTCAGTTATGCCTTTTTTCTTCGGTCCCTCATTATAATTCCATCATAGGCACTTTATTCTTCCACTTTTTATCTCCTTATTTTACTGATTACCGAATGTCAACTAAGAATAATTCATTAGCATAAAGTTTTTTCTGAGTACAATAAGTTAATAGCCTCTGTTTAATGAGCTACAAAAAACGTTTGGTTAAAACACCTTAATTGTGCACTGAAACTATATTCAGAGGAGAATATTGAAGAACTACTAACCATAGTTGGAAGATGTTTGAGGGCAAATCTTCCCCTCGTTTTATCAACCATCGTAATTATCAGTTTACATTTACATCCCAAATGACTTACATTGGAAGAACAGAAAGAACGGTTCTTGCATTCGATTCCACAGTTGTTATTACGTGAACTTTGACCTACATTTCCATTTTCAAGAAGCGTGTCTCTATATGTTTTAAGATTTCTCCCTTAGAATTTTCACATTTGGTAGCATTTATTGCCTTCATCCTATTAATCTCCATCAATATGATATGAAGTACGTACTTTGTCTGTAAATAATTATTACCATTGTTTCTAGGTTGTAATAAGGTGAATTGGAACCACGAAACAAATACATTTAGTTTATTCTTTTATGTTTTCCGTTCCTGTTTCAGTCAAATATATCAATGAGGAAAATATTATAAAAATATGGGATCCAGTTAATTATTGTCATTTAATACACGGTTAAAATTGAGTGGCAGACTTAAAACAATAGACTTGTGACCAAGAGATGGATTGAAATCGTGGAGCCAGTGGATAAAAAAAAACTAAAACAGTAATTGAGAAGGGAAAATAGGAATGAACAATTAACCTCGGGATTTTGTTGATGTAATAGTAAAAACCGACGGTATTGCCATAAACCATAATTACAACGATATTTGTCCGCAAATTTATCACATAACTCCAATTCAGATAATAGAAATTTGTGATCATTTAGATAATTGTAACGGTGAATAATCCATTGACTATTTATTGATAATTATATTAGAAGAACAAGTCGACAGATTAACAGAATTACCGGTGAAATATAGTCTCGTATGAGCGAGGATATTTGTTTAGAATCAATTGAGTGAACCTTAGTTCTGGTTCGACTGATAGTTCGTTGTTTAATAGAGCTTTACGCTTAAAGTTCCAGAATGTTGTTGTGTTAGGAGATACTAGTAGAAGATAATTCAGCAAATCTAAAAAGAAATCAACAAAATATTTCGACTCACATAGGTCATGTATGAAACGTAGTTGATTTAGACAATTTTATTTATTTGAACACATGAACATTGTTACAAGGAGGCAACAAATATATATGCACCACACAATGTAGTTACCATCAAATTTGCATGGAGAGGGACACTGCTCAGGTAACCAAACCGAAAAACGTGGTTTTACTAGGTCACTTTCTGAGCCTCTGATCCACAAGTCCAATTCACAATGCAGTGGAGCAACGTAAGCAGATGTAGTCCCATGGTAGAAGGTGACCAACAATAGGTTCATATGCCATTTGTTCCCTCAGGATCCTGGAGCTCATGTGTACCACTGGTTTGGAATAAAGGTTTTCTGATTCCTTTAGGTAGATCCTTCATATCCAGCAACCCGATTAAAGCGTCGGACATTTACTTTTCGTCCTCCTTATTTCGTTAAACAATATTCCCGCCGCGAGAAGGCAGAATAGGTCTTCTGTGTTAGAGGCTGTATACACGTGGCCATGTGAGAGTATTTGCAGAGGGAGAGTGGACTCCCCCATCCTCAGCCGTACCAGGGTAATTGGGGGTAACTTTAAGAGTTCTAAGTTTCTGGATATTGAATGAAAAACGCTAAATTCTGACAAATATTGACCTAACTGTGGCAGTTTCGGGATACTGACGTACTTCGTTTAGTGTTCTGGGAGCAAACTCTAGTTGTTGCCATGATGCCCCCCCAAAGTTTTTATTTTAGAACATACTTTAAATGTCCCTCAATTAGTTAAACTTTTTGGTAGTCCATAATTTGAGTTGTGACATATGTCGAACGAAAGCAAAAAACTTTGGGAAAAATAAAGGCAAACTCTAGAAGAAAACTTGGTTTCAATTTAGGTAGCAGTATAACCACTTGTTGCTTATTCACATGCTCTGGAAAAATTTTAAGAGACTTCCTTTTAATTATCTCCCACTGGAAAATATGTTTTGAAATTCACTCCTTTATGGGACGACCTATATAATACAGAACTGAATTCTTCATGTTCTTATTTTCTTTCCAAATTTATTTCACTGGATTATACTCCTTGAATAACATCTTCAAACTCTAATCTTTCCGATTACTGCTTATATTTTTACTACCTCTACCACTACGGGATTTGAATCGACAACTGCATGTCTGTGCTACTATGGTATGGCAACCCAAACTGATGTACGTAAGTACGAAGTTCTACGTTGTTTGACTGACTGACTAATGATATTGCTATGATCATTGACCATCGAGATAACAGTGCTGGCTGACTTCAGACATTTCTGTGGACGCTATTTCTGATAAACGGGAAACACTGAGCTTCATTGTCACAAGTTTAGCAGACATGTAACTGTCAAATTAGTTGCCATTATGTGATGCCCTGGATTGCTCTAACGTTAGGCACACCGCTACATCAGGTTGTAACAGGTGCATAGTTAGGGGTTGTTGTATAAATGGAAGTTTTCATCGACAGTCAAACCATCCATCATTATGGACATTTTAACCCTGAATACTTTTGGTGAACATGGTGCAAACGTTTCCCTTAGATATGACTAACATAGTATACTTAAACATAGTGTAAGTTAGTTAACATACAACTGAAATGAACTTCTAAACGACCAAAAAATACGATTAGAAAATTTATTACTATAATTGTCACTTCGATTTTGGATTCCAGCTGATACATTCCTTCAAGCATTTAAAAATTTACATCTTGGACTATGTCTTATTCTGAAGAGCAGTCGAATGTAGGTTACTCCTGCCTTTTTTAGGGCCTATAGTGTGAGAAAACAATTTACCCTGACCCTTAGACCTAAATCTTCTTTGTTTAGCTATGCTTTTTTCACTATTGCATCCGAAATTACACAGCAGTTTCAATGAGTTGATAGATAGTTTGATAGATTCTTGCATTAAATATGAATAGTGTTAAGGTGCTGAACGCCTTGCTTATGACACCGACGATATAAATCTGAATAGGGCTTCAGATTCTTCATCGACCATTCCTTTTGAGTTTTATACGAGATATAATAAGCACAGTACTTCGTAGATACACTACACTCAGACTATTCAGAGTTGTGTAGAAGAAACTCTTTATAGTAGGCTACATACCAGTCACTAACACCGGAAGCACAGTTACCTATGATTCTAAGAAACAGGTTATGTACAAGCAGGGACACTAGGCTTACCTCCTTTAATGCCGATGAAGTAATTTTCAAACACAAACCTGAATTAATTACAAATATTAACGACAGTAGACTAGTAAACCTAAGGTTTCAAGTTGACTCCAGTTTTTTTTTAAACGCTCAGTAATCATGAGACAGGTTTTTGTAACTGACGTAATATGAAAGTGTATTTCTGTAAACCACTTGTATAATGAAGTTTTAATTACCCTACTATAGTATGGAAACATATATATACGTACGTTTTTGTAGGTTGATTTTTAATTTTCATATCACATTCGGACAGTGAGATTACGAGACCAAATTGTCTCTACATTTTTCTCACTTTACAACTAAAAACGCCGTAATTAATTCTTCGCTCAGAAAGGTGGTCACTGTTGCATCCATGATTAGTGGACGATAGTGTATGCTTATGCTAACAATACAGTCGACTTTAACATGACGAGTTGAATCAACCCCAATATGAATTGATCTATCGTGTTTGAATTCGAACTATTTCAGTCTGTCACCATCAATGTGAAGACAAGCATACATATTATAATCCAGGTTTTTATGATCCAATGGTGAAATGAAGCTAACAAGATGCATAGTGGAACAGATTGAATAAAATAGTACTCATGATAAAGAAAAGTAATGGCATTCATAGCACGGTTCAGAAAGGCGGATAAGAGATGAGTCATGAAATATTGGATAGCTAAGTCGCCACCTAGATTGAAACCAAGTTTTTTACAAGGTTTTGTCCTCATTATTTGAATTTCTGTTGTGTTGGGTACATGTCACAACTCAGGCAACCAATATATATATATATATATATATATATATATATATATATATATATATATGACCAACAATCCGATGTGTTAGTTTAGTAGGTCACTACAACAAAACACATGCCTACCAAAAGTGTCACGTACCGTCAGAAACAGGTTCTGATGTATTTGATTCGTATTCACCAAATACGATAGTTGTTGTGCACTTACATATCCCAAATGCATCATCACAAACGGACAAAGATTTATGATCTCCTTCGTCTATATGAGGTATTATATCGTATTCTGAACTATTCTTCTGAATAATATTACATTTGAATTACAAACCATGTTTCAATGGCGTTCCGCAAGGACTTAAGGAAGGATTTAAGTCCAATTGAGTCGAAGGTCATACGGTGACACAGTTGAAGAGCTTGCGACATCTAATATTATTGTGATAAGTCAATATAAACAAACACTCCGGTGCTTTCATGTCGTTTCAGTAAATCTCATCGAATATTCAGTCTATAACTGTGGAGAAAGTAGGCCAATGACATGCGGTTATAATTTAGGTGTGAATTTCTGTATAAAAAAGTGCATTCGCTTTGAATGTATTCTACGACAAACATGATACCAGTTGTTAGGGCAAGGTATTTGATCCGTTGACTACAAGATCAGAAAGGCGAAGTTACAACATATTGTGATGCTCTCGGATATGATTAGTTCTGGATGTGGTAATATCACATTCTGTCATGTCAATCAACTGTGTCAAGTCGTAAAATTTGCTGTGTACACAGGGGTTGTATAGAGCATTTTAATGAGTTATTTTCGAAACAACGAACAATTTATCCTAGAGATTTGGATTGTCTGCTGATTTCTACAGCTGTATCACATGTTTGGATGCGTAACATCCTGTGCGTCAAACTGACTTGCACTATGTCTGAATATTGAGTGGTGGACCGTAAAATTTCACCATGATGATTTTAAGGCAAAATTCATGTTTTTAAAACTGATTAAAATGTTTTAAATATATGTGTTGCTAAGCGGGTTCATGATGCATGCATCTGTGGTCTCGTGTTCAGCTTTGAGGATTGTGTGGTTATGGTCCAATGTCACTACACACCCATCGATGTAGGCAAGCTTCAAACAAATGAACTCCAAAAATGTCGCATGTATTCCGGATTTAACAACAACTACACGTATCACCTATATTATTTAAGTACACTGAACAAGACAGATCAGGATTCAAATATGAAATGGTTTGAAGATATATTTTGAAGGTTGTTAATATATTGAGAAGCCTTTATTCTAAGCTGGCTAGCAGTCGCAAGGAATGCATAGCACAGCATACTCACCCAATATCTGGTGCGAATGAGTGACCGAGAGGTTTCAGCTAAGGTATGTCTACTGAGTTACTTATGTTGGGATCAATGTTAAGGACTTACAGAACTACTGATCATGTGGATTTATTTAATTCAACATACTATTTTGCCATTTAAGTAACGACAAGTAAAACATATGTTTTAATCAAAAAAATGTTTGCTAAGAGAACAAAATTTAACACAATAAACACTATTAACAAAAGCCGGTTTCGTGTTTTTTATGTTGTTTTAACCACTTCACATGACAACAAGAGTTGTCACTTTTTCAAAAATTTGAGGTGATTATGTGTCCATCTGGACGAAATCCGCACCCACCAATTACGCTCGAAAATGATGATACTTTTACGCGGTTGCCTAAAAAAGAGGTATGTCTATCAACAGATCTAACTTTAGTGAAGCACAAAGTATTCAGTCTTCCTCCTCATTTGGCACGTTTAGAAGATCCTTGGAATAAACTTTGTACACACCATACTCTTTCTAGTCTCAGACATACAGTAAGTTAGAAATGTAAACGTTGGTGTGTACGAAAGACCGAATATTTTGATCCAGAGGCTCCAAACGATGATCTGGATTTCAGGTTAAAAGCAAACTATGACCAACATATCCACTGGTGGAAGTCCAACTCTGAGGCTTTGTTACAACTAGAAACATTAAATAAAACAAAGTACGATCAAATATGAGCTTTTTTTCGGGGTTTATGCACTGTTTTAAAATGTTTTCCCAATATCATGATTTTGGGGGAAATTATGTCAGCTTTGTAGAAACTTCAGATTTTTCTAAATAACCCACCGAAATTACTTCAAATTTAGGGGAAAACTACGAACTTTTATGTGACCTTTCGGAAAAATCCGAATTTTCTTCATGATCGGAGAACTGGAAAAAGAGAGTTTAGAAGTATATCAAGAATTTATCATAATAAGATGGAAAAGAACTTATGAAAGTGGATTAACACACAGCTTTGGAGACTTATTCTCGCTTATGAGCACTCCATCATGTGTGGTTAACTTCGTATTTTGATTTTAGATTGTATGATTTTGAGCCATACGAAACGTAATACTAATTTGCTCTTTCCTAGACAAGAGATAATGGCTTATAGGTAGATCAAAGTAGATTAATAACAAAAAATACTAGTCTTATTCTTCTAAAGCTGAAACGTATCAGCATTTTTAGTGTCTGTCCCTTAAACCATAGCGTGTTAAATCTTTAGTTAATTTAGCATATGAAATGCATGTGTACGGATATATTTACGATAAAGCTATCTTATGCTTTGTCTTTGAACATGTAAGTCCCTGTACCGTCTTTTGAAAAAAGATTGAGATATACTAAGCGTATAAGTATATCACTGGATAACCTATCTTCAACGTCACTCCCAAGATTATGGTTTACGTTAGAGGTAAGATTGTTTCTCTTAATAAAATATCGTTTTTAAGTAACGAAATTGTGTTGATGAAGTTTATTTACGACAAAATCGTTTTGGATATTGACTCATGACCAAAAAGTGGATTATGTATCATCAAATTAAATCTACTTAAGTCTACAAATTCTATGACGAGGCATAAAAAAGAATCAGATAAAGATAGGAGAAAATTAAAACAAATAAGGAATAAAAAGAGAAACAGATATAGATTAGTAGGGTTAGACAGGTTGCAAATACTCAGAACTTTACAGTACTAATGTTTAAGTTTCTTTCAATGATATTATCACCAAACCAATAAAAGCGGAATCCCAGAGTGATCGAGTAGAGAGCAGATGCCTCGTAGCATATAATAGCTGGACTGACTAGCTATAGAAGGAGATACGTGAATGGGAAGTCTAGACATATCAAATACTACTTCAAGGCCGGACAGATCAAATGCTATTGTTTGATCAGACAGCGGGTGTGAGATGCAAGTGATAACAGGCTGTTGTAAGAGGACTGTTCGTTAAATAATGCCACCGCTTACATATTCATGTAGTGATAAGTTCGGTATTATATAGGTAAATACATGAATTATGTATATATTCATTTGACCGTTGGTGAAATAACTTTCAACTTACTCTTAGTCTACTTAATCTGCATGGCAACTTGAATAATCGTTAGGGGTAATGTATTGTTATTGAATCGGACGCTAGACGATGGAATCGGACGACCGGTATTTTGTCATAGAATGAAAAAATTCAGAAGTTCATTTCCACACTTTTACACGGAATTTAGCTTACTACGTTTTATACATTAAGCAAGCACAGTACTTTTACGCATCTTCAGAGTTTAATAGTCAACAAATTGCCCCCAAATGCCCTGGTACGGCCGAGAGTGGGGGGAGTCCGCTCCCCCTCTCGAAATGCTCTCATATGGCCACGCGTATACAGCCCCTGCCAGGGAAGTCCTACTCACTGCCTTCTCGTGGCGGGGGTGTTGTTTACAAAAATGAGAGGACGAAAAGCGAATGTCCGGCGCTATAACCGGATCCCAAACCAATGGTGCACATGGGCTCCAGTGTCCTACGGGAACAAATGGCGTATGAACCAATCGTTGGTCACCGGCTACCATGGGACTGCATCTCCTCACGATGCTCCACTGCCTTGTGGATCAGATCTTCAGGTCAAAGGCTCGGGGTGTGGCCCCCTAAGAAAACCACCTGCTTCGGTTTGGGAACCCGGGCAGTATCACAGCCCTCACACATATCAAATGAGATCTGTGTGGCGCATATGTATTTGGTGCCTTCTTGTACCGATATTTATGTGTTAAAATAAATAAATAAATAAAAGTCAACAAATTTAGGTTTGTTAAATCTACAGCTTAGCGTGAAAGTAAGTCAAAAAACAGAAAATGGAATGATAGTGGTCAATCCAAAATCGAGGGTTTAGATTTAGAAGTCCATGATTACATCCATCTATATAATTATTATCAACTTTGGATAATTTTGCCATTATGTTTAGTTAAATAGCGTTTATCATCCGAAGAAGAGCATATTTAAACGTTTACATTTCCTCACTAGGTTTACACCATTAATAGATTAATTGACATCACTCCTCAATATAATTAGTCTTATCTTTCACTAGTATGATCCTACTCCGATCATAAATAGAATGTTATTTTTTAAAATATTTATTGAAATTAACTAGTTGTTGATGTAACACATTTTTGTTCAGTATTCATATTAACTTAAACGTCTGTGCGATAAACCGTTTTGACAGCCATAATTATAACAAAATCTGTAACATCTGTGCATCGTTTTGTGCTACTATACCGCCTTGGCATAGTAAGATGAAATCATCCAAACAAACCCTGGAGTACAAAAAGTAGTAATAGTATCAGAAGTAGAAAGTACTATATACGGACGGTATGATTTGGCACGAAAAAATGGATTATCATGATAGAAAGATATGCGATGATTTCAAAACTTGAGAACTAAGGAAAGATAAAAAAATGATTGAATTTGTTTCATTTGAGCCAATTTTGATTAATGTTCTCTAGTGCCTTTGGCCTTCAACAAAATAACCACATGTTTTACAAACAAGTAGTGTTCTTCCACAGATATGACTCAGAAAAGTTAAAAATTTTTTCATTTAATGATTTTGTTTGTTGGTTTTGGCACACTTAACCTCCTTTAAAATTGCCCGCCCCCAACTATTAATTTATCAATCTGTCACCAATAAACAACATAAGTGATGTGAAATGACGCTATTTTATCATTATGGAAATCTTAATAATAAAATATATATTTTTTGCATATTTTAATTTTTAAATTTTTGTTTATAGGAGGGTGCTTAAAAATCGACCCCCAAAACCTGTAATTATACGTCCACCACCAAGTCAACCATTTACAATATGGACAAGTGATTGTAGAGAACGACTTGAACATGTTTCAGAAGCAATCGGTAATAAGAAACTATTGATATATTTATTTAAGTATAAGTTTGTATAGTTGATTTTACAATGAAACCCCAGTTATAATATACCTTTATATATTGACTTACAAAAAAATTGTAAAGCTCAGGTCTTTGTACATAACATAACACCTAGGACGTATATGTATCAGTTACCATTCATCATATCAACACAGTGAACAAGGCAAAGTAAACT